GTGGTGCTGGGGGATTGAACCGCGGTCCCTGTGCTTTGCTAAGCTTGTTCTAAGTAGGTGCTTTAGACCACTGAGCCATCTCACCAGCCCCATGTCAGTTTTTGAATACCTGTTATGTTCCACATACTTGACACACTAGCTCATTTAGTCCTTGCCAAAAAAACAACTTCAAGAATGGTATTTCTATTATTTTATCAACAGAGCAACAAACACTCAGATACTAAGTAGCTTGTTAGGTTCACTCAGCTAGTTACTAGCAGAGTTACACAAGGGGAAGTAAGGAGCTCAGATTTAGGACAAGAAAATAAGCAGCTTACAGAAGAAAGAGGATTCAATAACCAAAAAATCAGCTAGTTGTACAAAGTATGATAAAGTCTGTGTGTGTTGAATATAACACTAATTTACCAACCTGAGCAGTAACTATTTTATCTCCACTGGTAGCACTTGCCAAATCAAGAGAAGGCTGAGAATCTCTGGCTGCACTCTCTGAAGCCATGTTTGTAGTTAGGAGAGAATCAGATGAAATATTTTCTTTCGGTACTGCAACAACAATAATAATAACAAGAACAACAACTAGTATTTCTATCAGGCCATACATATTAAAGGTGCCTTAACTTTGATTCTTACAACAAGGCTGTGAAGAAAGTGGCCCTTACTATTCTTTTTCTATATATGGAAATCATGGTTTGAATTAATGTTATTTAACTTTCTCAAGAATAAATAGCATTAGCCAAAAGGGGTGCTACACACAACCATAGTTCTAATGCTACAGAGGCTAAGGTGAGAGAAATGATTGAACCTAGGAATTCAAGAGCAGCCTAAGCAACACAGCAAAGACCATGTATCTTTAGCAAAACCAGAAAGAAATAGACTACTGAGGTTCATATATTCACAGATGCAGGATTTGAATTTAGACCTTAACTCTCCAAATCCCATGTCTTTTTCACCATGCCACACTATTTTCTCAGATGATAATAGATCTGAAAGAGTGGAGTGTGCTAAAATATTTAATAATAATAATATAACATCACTAATGTAAAATGACTTTTTGTCTATTTTTAATTTTTTGACACAGGGTCTTGCTCTGTAGTTCAGACTCATCATGATCCTCCTCTCACAGCCTCCCCAGCACTGCGATTACATGTGTATACCACCACATCTAGTTTCAGAGCCAGCATGGTATACCCAGGGCCCTGGGGTCAGCGTGGCATGCAGTACTGGGGACCAAATTTGCGACCTTGTACTTTGCAGGCAGGCGCTTATGCTGCTGAGCTACTTCCCCAGCCCTTTTTATCTATTTTTAAAGAAATAATTTTTATAACTTGGACACTAGTGTGGTTCTACTTAGCAAAACCTGAAACAAAAGCATAATGTTAAAGTTTCAATTCCCAAATCTTCCCACCAAAATATTTATAACTCAATTAATACTTGCCATCAACATCAGGTGTTTTAAGAGCCTCAAATTCCAATTCACTTTTCTTTTTTCTTGGCGGTGGAGCAGGTCGAGAGGGAGGTGGAGGTCGAGGAGGTGGGAAATTAGCTGGAGGGGGTGGACGGGCTGGAACAGGCTTCTTTGTACTAGCTACTATATCAGGTTCTGAAGTGATGTGTCTTGGGGGTTTGGCAGGAGCCATCTCTTCTACAGCAGCAAAATCTTTAGTAGGTAAAGAGTCTGATGTTGCAGGATCCAGAACATCACTTTGTTTGACTTCCACTGTTTCCTTGTTCAATACTTCTGTTTCTCTTTCAGGCACATTAAGCTGCTCTGCTGAATTTATTTCAGTTAACTTAGTGGTTTCATCTATTGACTTCTCACAGGCATCATCAGAAGGAAAACATTCTTTTGATTCTAATTCAGTTTTTTCCAATGCATTGTCACTCTCTGGCTTTTTGGAATCTTTCTGTAATTCTTGATCTATGGCTAGAAGTCCAGGTATATTGCTAAGATCAGTATCAGCCACAACAGGACTGGCAGTAGCTTGATCAGAAAGTCCCTTTCCTTTGGAACCCAAAGAGTCATCTTCATGCTGTAGTACTTTCTGACTCTCCTCAATAATACTTTCAATTATCTAATGAGAGGTTAAAAAGTAGTTTTAAAATTAAAGAACTTACAAGAATATATCTATAGCTAAATATTATATAATATTTAGTTGTGTGCCAGGCAATGCTCTTAAAACAAGGTATTCTAATCTTTATAAAACCTTATGAGGTTAAACACCTGCAGTCATCATTTTACAAACAAGGGAACTAAGACAGAAGGATCAAGTGCTTTGTCCAAGGTTATAGGAGCTGGTAAGTGATGCAATGTGTATAAACCCAGGGAGTCAAGAGTTCTTGATATTATAAGAGGAAACCTCAACTTCTGTCTTCTTACCTTGGTTCCAGCAATTAACATACTAGAATGTATCACAGAACCACCCTGATCTAGCTAACCTGAATGGCATATCACTATTACCCAGTAATAATTATCCCTGATTTTCCAGCATATTTGATATATTAGTTTTTAATTCTAGAAATTATCTCACTCTTGCCAAAGGAATACTAACTAAAGCAGACCTCATTTTACCATTAAGTGGTTACTGAGCAATGAGGACCTTAGTGATAACAGAAATCGGATTACGACAGGCTTTAGAATGGACAAGCCGCCAGGCATTTCTGTAATCTCAACTACTCAAGAAGGTGAAACAGGGAAATTGAAACTTTGAGGCCAGTTTGGGAAACATAGTGACATACTGTCTCAAAGTAAAATAAAAAGACCTTGGGATGTATTCCATTCAAAATACTTGCCTAGCATTGTTCAAGGCCCTTTATTTAATCCCCAGCATTGAAAAATGAAAAAACAAAACTGTGAATGAATAAAAGTGAAGACCTAGAGACAAGGTTTTCAAAGACTCACATCTATCTAATATTTATGAGACCTTATGTTTGAGCCCTAGCACCGAAAGGGGAGAAAAGAATAGGGTATAAATAGAACAGGTTACAAAGAAAGTCACCCAGCATTTTTATAAGCTGAAGGGAAAATAGAGCAAAGTGTTGAAGGAAAGAAGGCCTATTGTATATTATGCCATATATATATTATATATATAATATATATAATATATATAATATATATTCATTTTATCATCACACAAAATAAATGGAATATCTATCTTCTTTCTACAAAGTATGAATCTGATGTAAAAGTATTAAGAATTTGCCCAGTGTTCCACAGCTAGAAAGATACATGACCAAAATGTTTATCAAGGTCTTTCTTAAAAACCCAGTGTTCTTTGTATAACATAATGCTACTTGGACAGGGAAAAAAACTCAAAAAGAATACTAAATTCTCAGCAATGGATGACATGAAAAAGTGATAAAAGTTGCAAACATGTTTGCAGGCAGGAGAATTGAGAAATGATGTAAGGAACAGACTCATAGTTTTTAGCCTTTCATGCTTGTATGAAGTAGGAAACAAGATTATCTGCGGAGAGTGATGGGGACATGAGTGGGCAAAGTGAGGATAGGTGAGTACAAAGGTATGATGTGATCACTCTGTCAAAGTCCATGATACAACAGGAGTCTAAATCAATGAAAATGTCTTCCTTGATCCCCTACCTCAGAATCTCTCCTTTAAACTTCTATCATTCTATTAGTTGTAGTATGAATCACAATGTAGAGAAGGAATACATGGGCTAGCTCTGAATATTCATTTTCTCCACACAAGAAAATTAATTCCTAGAGAGGAAAGCCCATTTTCAGATTTTCTTATATGGTTTCATGGTATCTATATACAATGCCTGGCCTTGTCATTTTTCCTGGGTTTTAGGAGATAATGAAGAGTAAAAGACCAAGAGAACAGTGAGAACCAAGACCAACATTGAAATGATCATGCTAAATTAGTGTTTGCTTAAAAAAGCTCCCTTTCTCTCTCAGTGGTCATAATTAAAACCCAGATATATCAATATGACATAAAGTATTCCCATAATCCAGGCCTAACTAGATTCAACCTCAAGACACACACATTTCCCATCTCCATGTCTTTAGTAATGTCTTTCCTCTCTCTCATCTCTGCTGGCCTAAATGTATTCATCAAGAACCAGTTTAGAGTTGGGTGTGGTGGCACACACCAGCAATCCCAGCAATCCCAGCACTTGGGAGGCACAGGCAGGAGTATCACTGGGAGTTCAAGACCAACCTGGGCTACAAAGTGAGCTTAAGGCCAGCCTGAGCTGCATAGTGAGACTCTGTCTCAAAAAAGACCCTCCCCAAAAAAAGAAAAAAAGAAAGAAAAAAGGAAAAGGAAAAAGAACCAGTTTAGATGCTATTTTCTCCATGAAGTCTTCCCCATTCCTATTTTCAAGTAGAGCAAGTCTCCTTCAAATTCTTATACTTTCTAACTTTATGTGAACACTTTCTATATTGAGTTGTATGCTTATCAAATTTTTACTACCAAAATGTAAGCTACTTCAGGAGCATCCTAGTTCACAGTATTTTATTTTTCTTTACTTTATTTCCTCAGCCCTTTTCAAAATTTTGTTTATTTTGGGAAAAGGTCTCAATCTCCACAATTTTCACCATTAATACTAAATACATACTTCAGCTGAAAAGGCTATGACTTAAAAAGTGATAACTTAAGTATTAAGCCTCTTACTATCCCACAGTGTGTTTCACTATTTAGCTCCTAAAAGCTCCTTAACAATTATTTATTTTTATCACTTACTATAGATAGGATAAAATACAAATGTGTAAGTTACAAATGGTTAACTAAGAAAAAAATTCTTAAAAAGAGAAAGACAACTATAGTGGAAAAACACAAGATAGTTTCTATAATCAAAAATACCTAGATATATTGTATCATTGTCTGATTGAAACTGATACACCAAATGAAAACTAAATATTAAAATGGTATAGCTGGAATTGGTAAAAGACAAAATACAAAACTGCCTATGCTACAATTAGTTTAGAAAAGAATGCAAAGGAGTGAGAACCAGAAGGAAGTCCCAAAAAACCAAGACAGCTGTTTCAATTGTGAGAAGTTCCTTGTTTAAAATGGCTCAATTCCTATTATATATACTAACATATGATGCTACCACTTTTCCTAAAAGGGAAGCTTTTCTTTGAAAGGAATTTCAAAGTATTACCAACATTAAAATCCACAGTCCACTGTATTTCTAAATTATGTAAGGGTGGCATAATCATTTTCCTTGGGGGGTGGATCTTGCCCTAACCCCTCCCCATGGTATCTGGAGACATTTTTGGCTGTTAGGATGGGGTTGGGAGGGTGCTACTAGTATTTTGGCAGGTAAAAGAATTCCACAACACATACAACAGTTACCCCTTCCCTTCACAAGGTTAATTATCCTGCCCAGCATGTCAAAAGTACTGCTGTTAAAGAAATGCGGAGGTAGACAATGTGTTATTTTGGTGGATACCACGAACTCACTGGTTAGAAGAGAGCCTCAGGTGGAGAAAACACTCAAAAGTTTTGTAAGTGAATGAATACACATACACTGTCTTATTCCTTGAGTTTTATCTCGGTACTGACAACTGCCCATTTACAATATATTTATCTTGTACTATCTTTTCTAATAAAACAACCTCTGCTGCTTCACAGCATTGATTGTTTAAATGGTATCAAAGACACTATTACAGTAAGGACTTCTTGGAAGCAGTGACTCCTGAACACATCAGGATTTGCTGTACTGAAGTAGCTATGGTTTGTTCTAAGAAAATACAACCATAAATCAATTTTTAAAAGTACTGTTTCAAGGATAAGTTATGATTAAGAGTATGAAAACAATTTGTAAAACAAAGCCAGATATAACTTCAACCACAAATTCAACTGATTCCAGAAATATTCACTGACGATTCACCATGTTCAGGTACTATAGTAAAAGAATACAGAAAAAATTCTGTTTCACTGTAACATGTAAATGTGATGTCTGCTATAAACTAATATTGACATTATCTTTCAAACCTTTTTAGACACATCTTGTTTCAATTCTTGTACAGGGGACTCATTTCCAACTTTGTGTGCAGTGTTCTCTGTTTCCTGTTTTAAAAAAGAAAACAAATAGAAACCAAATGTTGACACCCTTTCTTTAAAATTTTGCTTTAAAGGGGTACATATGAGAAAATATGGCATTAGTAAACCAAAGAACCATAAAGTGTTTATACCTTTATATAGTGATTCCCAGAGATTTTATGTCAACAAGCACAACATGATTTATATATGAAAATTAACAATCAGCAATTTTATTTTGTAACTGCAATAGGATATGTATCCTTAAATGTAAAAATTTGCCCAGCTTTTTAACATTGAAAAATTGTAATAAAAGATAAGAACTATGCACCTTTGCAGCTGAAAAGAATAAAAGATTTAGTGAAGTGGTTGAATCAGAAATATTTCCCCAATAGTAACACTCCATAAATATGTGTAAATTCAAAAACATGTAACACAGAGAAACATATTGTTCTCTGAAAATAACTCTATATGCTTTACAGGAAAGAAATCCAAGACTTAACTAGATGTAAAGCCACAAAATAGTAACAGACGAAAAGTTTAAACCCACCAAAAATACATATATATCTACGTATACATTTATATACACATACGTACATATATATATATATTTGGGAGGTTAAAGAAGGTGGGTAGAAATTGGTATTACAGTTCTATAAGGAAAATTAGAGCAAAATAACACAATCACACATTGTAAATATAACAAAATATTCATTTCCATCTTCAATTTTATTCACATTTTTAGAAGTACAGCTGTTACATATATGTAGCAACTCTCCATGTAATCGTGTACTACAAAGGTATATTAATAAAATATTAAAAATTATAGAAACTTGAAAATGTGACTAGTAATACTGAGAAAACAATTCAGTGTTCTTGGTGTGTATCACAGATCTTGTTAGAGGAAAGTCACTGTAACCAAATAGAAAGGCCCTCAATTCTATATAGGGTAATTTTTTTGGGAAAATCATTTCATAATTAAATCATGATTAAGGCTTGTCCAAGGCCTAATATCCTGCCTGGGAGCTCAATATGGTATGCGGAAACATAACTCCATGTGCCCCCAGCCACAGTTGAAGACTCACAGGTCCTGTGATGCTGTGATGCCCCAGGGCTAAATTACATCAGCTGAAGACAAACTGGCTCCTTAAGAACCAAGGGGAAAGGACAAGCTATTAACTTACCATCTCTCCCCACCAATCTCATCAACATAAAGATCCTTATTTGCATAAAACTACCACCCTCTGAGTTATTCTATAATCCCCTCACCATTTTCCTCAAACAATAAATGTGGAGACTCTGGGTGCCTGGTAGCCTTTTGTTCCCCATGAACTGGTCATCCCAGATCCCTGTTGCACTGCCATTTTGTCTCTTGCTCTTTCTTTTAGCTGAGTACTATAACACCTTGCAAGAGAATGGCATCCACTATAGGACTCACCAATACCATACTTTACAGATAAATAACCCAAGACATATAAGGATGTGCGTAAGTATTAAGGTAACACTTACATAAATAAGTATCAAGAGATGATCATGATAGACCCCTTGATAAAAAATGGTCAGAGATTATGCTAACAGATTTCATGTGCCAGTGAAATTTCCAAAGGACTCTGACATGAAAAATTTGCTTCACTGAATTCCTCCCCAGCATTTGGAGGAAGTCTACTAATCTTTTACAGATTCTTCTAGAGGAAACAAAAAAACGTTTCATGGAATCTTAACTATTAAGGTAAATTCCAAACTCCAAAATAGCTCATGAGGGGTTAACGTGACAACAGCCTCTAGATAGACAGATAGTAGAGAGCCTATGTCTTGGTATTTCTACACTTCTCATTTCCCTCACCGATCAATCATACTCAGGCCAACTGGAAGGTTCTTTCCTATAGGTGAAAGTCCAAGTGTTATTTTATAAGAAAAGTCTTTCTGGACCATCTTGAAACAATCTTATTTACTTAGTTTTTCTCTATTTATTTCCTATTCCACTAGAATACAAACTCCATGATCTTATTGGTTATGTCTACCACTATTTGCCCAGGACATGGGAACAGGTAATCATATGCTGAATGAATTTTGGCTTTTTTTTTTTTTTGGAGATTAAGAGCAAATATTTACTGGGGTTGAAAGAAAGCTTCAGCCCGAGAGAGAGACAGAAGGGGGACCCAAGCAGGTTGCCCTGAATTTTGGCTTTTTGTTTTAATGTATTTGGTACAGGGTTTCACTATGCAGCTCAGACTCCCAGTGATCCTCCGCAGTCCCTTCGCTTGCCTAAGCATGTGCTTAGTCCACTGAGTTATCTAAGGTGAATTCTGAACAACCCATACTTTTTTTTATTTTTCCAGTTAGTACATATCTCTTATATTTATGTATTCTTTAATTGATTACTGGTTTTAAAGAAAATCTAATCAAAACTAATCAATAACTTGAAAGCTCATTATCATTAATAACAGTTAATGTATATAAGAGAAACTCTTGTTTGGCGGAACTGGGGATTGAAATCAGGCCCTTGCATTTGCCAGGGAAGTGCTTATTCCACTAAGCCATCTCCCCAGCCCCAAGGGAAACTTTCAACCAGCCTATAAATGAAGAATTCTAATATAATTATCCTTCAAGAATATTTAGTATCAGGAATAGCATAAGTATTTTATAATATAATTCAAGGATATTTTCCCTAAATTAAGCTACACAGAAATACACATTAATAATTTATGGACCCCAATGTAATTTGTTTTAATTAAGCACTTACAAAGACAACAGTTAAGATACTTATGCCAACCAAAACTACTAAGCACCAAAAGTTTTATTTGACTAAAACAAAATTCTCTTAGACTTTGAACTTTTGAAACATAGCAACTTTTATAAGGTAAACTGCTGATAATTCACAAATTTCCAGGATTGATATACTTGCCAGAGGACCTGATCTTCAGAGAAGTTATCTGAAGATTTCATTCAGATATAAAGATATGTTCATTCAAGTATAATTTTCTTCCAGTAATGTAGAGTCCAAGTCTTTCTAACACCTCATTCTGGCTCTGGGGATAAAGCAATGTAAACAAGCATGTGTCTGCAGACAACCAGCACCAATTTATTAAACTTGAGCCAGTCTTCATTTTTTACCACTTCCTGGATGCGGGCTGCTCCATTACTAAAATTCAGTACTCTTATGTCTAGCTTTTCCCCATAAGGTCATTTCTATAACCTCCACCTATCACAGTATCAGGACATGTTTCCTTAAAAGGTACAAGAGATAATTTATTTTTTTAAAATTCACACCACAGTTATGCTGGTTGCTTGTATTTTCTTCACATCTGGTTATAAGATTTGAACTTTTTAATTTTAGTAAGCATGACCAAAAAGTTTTTCAAAGTTTATATTCACAATGAATTTCTGTAAAATTGATCTATACTTACAAATATCTTCACAACTGTTAAAATTTAAGCTAAAAACATTACTTATTAAAAAAGATCAGAGCTGGGTGTGATGGCCCACATTTGTAATTCCAGCACTCAGGAGGCTGAAGTGGGAGGATTGCTGTGAGTTTGGGACCAGTCTGGGCTACAAAATGAGTTTATAGGCAGCCTGAAAGGCATAGTGAAACCATGTCTCAAAAAGTGCTCCACAACTCCCCAGTCAGGTCACTTCTATCTTTTAATAGTGAGGGATTAGGAAACTGAGTAACGAATGAATCAAATATATATATATATATTTTTTGAGACAGGGTATTGCAATATTGTTCAGGGTAGCCTTGAACTTACTAAGTAGCTCATGGTGGACTCAAACATAACACCCAGCCTGAAGTGACACTTAAAAAAAATACTAGAAATGTGACTGCTATTCCTTTCCACTGAAAAACTTAAAAAAGGAAAACAATCACCAATTATTTACAAAGCTATTCCCTTCTTTGGGGTTTCTCATCTTGACATAAAATTAACAGCTTTAAGGGTTTTTTTTTTCCTTCAAATTTTCTTTTACCCTTCTATCAGTTATCCTAATTTCCCAGCAAAATCCTTGGTTATAGGCCATGTGCCATGGCACTTGGCTGTAATCCCAGCTAGTCAGGAGACTGAGGCAGAAAGATCACAAATCGGAGGCCAACTTGGGCAATTCAGCAAGACCCTGTCTCAAAATTTAAAAGAGCTGGTGTTGTAGCTCTGTGGTAGAGCTATTGACTGCCTAGCACATGTGAGGCCCTAGAAATGCCCAGCTCCACAAAATAAACAAACAACAAAACTTGTTGTGGACAACTGTAACACACATATCAACTGTCTTTAAATAGCCTGTTTCAAAACTTTGAAGGACAAAGTTCTTAACCTGATATACAAATCTCATCACAATGTGGTCCCAATTAATTTTTCAAACATTATACTATAAACAATTTTCAATTGGTCACTCTAGTAGTTTAATTTTCCCAGTACATCCTATCCTTTTGGATATATATTAATTAGTTCACACAATTTCCTAATATACAGCGCTTTCCCAATTGTTTTCTATCTACCCATGGAAGCCTCTGCCAATTTGCTAAAGCAAGCACAAGGTCTATCTCTGCCCTAAAACTTTTTTCTGGGGTTCCAGATAACAGTACTTTCCTGAGTGCTCTATTTTTTCCTTTCTCCTCCAATCTTCTTGCAGCACACTGCATCTATTTTACAAACAAGTCCTCACACAGTGTCTGTATACATGTCTGTTGGACTGAAAAAAAAACTACCAAAAATTGAGAGCATATTAAACCTTTCTTCATACTGATAAAAATATTAATAGATTTTTATACTATATACTCAATAGTTTCAGTATATCCTTATCACAGAATACTACTTAGCAGTAAAAGGAACAAATCCTTGATAGCTGCAACAACTTCAATGGATCTCAATTCTCTCAACTCATCTCAAAAGGCAACATATTATGATTTCATTTATAGAATACTCTCAAAATAACAAAAGTACAGAGACAGAGAACTGATTTAGGGGAATGCGGAGAGCTAGTAAAAGGGTAGCACAAGGGAATTTTTTATGGTGATGACAGAGTTCTGCATCTTCGTTACAGACATACACATGTCACAAACTGACATAGCAGTATACATTCAAATTGTACCAATATAAAATTCCTCGTTTTTATACTATACTGGATAAAGGATACATAGGGTCTTTCTGTACTATATTTATATCTTCCTGTGAATCTATAATTATTTCAAAATAAATAAGGAACAATATTCAACCACATATTTACTTACTAAATATGTACATTTGCTATCTAATTTTATTCCAGTTAAGGACAATCTATAATTACTGGGGTAAAGTAAATACCTCAAATCTATTTTCAATCTAAAATATCTTAGACCTAACTGGCTTTTAAAACCTACAAGCACAAACAGTAGTTGCCTCTGGAAGTGGAGGGTAGGGGATGAGAAATAGGACGAAAAGCTTCATTTTCCACTACATATATATATATGTATATATATATGTATTTTTCCTTGAGCAAATTTTAACCAAGAATATGTATTACATTTAAAATTTAGTTTTCATTAAATGTTGAATATAATTGTTATAAAATATAAGAAAAAAACTATAATATAACCATTCTTAAGTATTCAATTTAAGTAAAAGAACATGACTGCTAGGTTTCAAGTCTCTTGCGTATTGCTCTCCATTTCCACTACAGTCTCTGCTTCTCAGAGATGACTGATATCCTACATTTTGTATTTGTCATTCCCCTGACATTCTTCACAGTTTTACCATGTTTGATGTCTAAATGATATGCTTCTAAATAATATATTCTTTAATCTGGGATGCTTTTGAACTTAATACATAAGGAATCATAGTGTACTTGTTCCTGTGAATTGCCCCCCCCCCGTGCTGAACTTCATGCCTGTTTTTCCTTTCTCTTGCTGTAGAATATTGCATATTATTTTACAACAATTTTTCAGAGATGATTATCCAATGCATGTAAAATAAATTATACTAGAACTGAAAAATCAGAGCATGTTTGAGATCATATATAAACAGAAACATGCAAATACAAGACATACTCTATTTCCCATACAGCAGTACTTCTGTTCTTGTTAACTGGTATGGCGGGTGAAACTGTTTTGGCTGGAAAGGGTAGCAAGTCAGAAGGCAATCAACACCAGTATGTTCTAGCTTGTGCACCAAGTACCAAGAAATGATGAGAAACAGAACAAAATTTCACATCAAAATGTGTGGAGTACTAAATTTGACAAGTTTTAAAGCAGTCAAGTACCAACATATCAATATAAGCAGTTCTGTTCAGTAAAATTCTGGTAATTAAAATGTCTCTTTCTCAGGTACTGGGGTATAGTTCAGTGGTACAGTGCCTGCAAAACATGGGTTCCATTATCAGCACCAAAAAGAAAAAAGAAAAGAGAAAAGAAAAGACTCTCAGTGGCATAATGTCTCAATAACAAACTTTTTGCTTGGATATATGGCTGGGATTTATTTTTATATGTAGTGATGATACCAATACATGTGCCCACAAGAAGTATACAAATATTTTGTTTACTCTGTATTTTTGTCATGCTAGTATTACATTTTTAGCTCACACATCCATTTATACAGATATATTGTATAGTGCTCTTTTATTAAAAAAATTATAAATCATAAAAATTTGTGGTAATAAAAAATACTTATGTTCCCTTCTTAAGAGCACAATAGTAAATCAGGTATTGCTAGAGTACCTAATTATATTGATGAGGATATAATTAAATTATTATCAAAAAGTTTAAGAAGGGTATAAAACAATGAGTTCTATGAGAAAATGAATAAAGATGTACATAATTTCTAAAAACATGTCCTTGAAAAAGCAAAGTTTACCTTGAATGATGAAAGCCCAACTTTTCCTGGAGACCTGTTAGGAAACAAAAGCAAGGTGTAAACAGACCAGGTAAAAAAGGAATTATTTTTACACACTATTAAAGACAAGCCTGCATTTAAAAAACGTGTATATTTTGAGATTTAAAGGTCTTGTTTGTATATAGGAAATATGAATAACAAAAAGAAAAGAAAATTAAAGTGATTCACATGTAATTTCACTGCCTAGAGATGTGAGTATCTTTTGTGTATACCTACATCTATATGTCTTGCAGAGTCTGTCAAAAAATGTGTATGTACATGAGCAGTTCACCATACTAATAAATGTCTGGAAGCTGATGGCCACCACCTTGAGCACCTCTTGTAACTGTAGAGGCCAAAGGTAACTCGTATTAATCTCATGATGTCTCAATGAATTTACTATTAAAATATACAAGTTTTTCTTTTCCTATTGTATACATTTCTTGTAGTTTTTTTTCTCTCTTTCTCCATATATATAATTTTTTCTAAAAAAAACTTGGTACAACTACATGAATAAAATTTCCCTAGAAGTACAGATAAAAAGCAAATAAACCTTTTAGAATTTTGAGACACTTTCAAATTGCCACCTAAAACTGCTGTATCAACGTCTATTCCCATTATTCTATAAATGTATGTTTAGTACTTCTGCACAAATGACTGCTATTTTAAAATTTTATTAGTCTGGCAGTAAAAATACACCTTTTTATTGTTTTAATCTGTGCTTCTTTGATATTTAGTGTAGCTGTAATTTTTCATATTCATTAGATGTTTAATTGCTTTCATAGATTCACTTTTGTTCCCTCATTTTTCCTATTAGAGCAAAATGCTATTCTTAAACACAGACTACTCTAGATACAGTAATTTTAAAAGGAACTTTTCACCAATTATTTTTACCTCTTCTCTTTTTTTTTCCCAAATAGGAGCAGTTTGTTAACTGCTTTTATGCACAAAGCAGAATGGCACCCTCGCTATTATACTTTAGAGTTATACAGTAAGAAACAGTTCTAAATAATTAATATGCCATTCCTAAGAATAAGTAAAATATTTATAAATGACACAACTTCAGGTTGAAAAACTCCTTCAAGACCACACAGTAACATAGCCTCTTTTTACAGAAAAAGAAACAGGTCCCAAGAGATTCCATGACTTTTCCTCAGTTACAAGGAGGAGAACCAAAAGAAACAGACCTTCTATCAAGGTCTTTATATGCCAAGTTGGGAGATGACATTTGGTATAGAACATAGCTTGATAAAAAATTACTTTTGCATTACAGAAAATCAATCTTTTCATTGAATATTTATGGTATCAATATTATGTACCTGGACTAGAGATAAGAAAACGAATCAGATGATTCTAGTTTGAGAACTTTTAAGACTTATATAAAAACAATTGAAAAAAGGGCTGATAGCATAGCTCAGTGGTACTGCAGCTGCCTAGTATGCACAAGGCCCTAGAATTGATGACCAGCACTGTAAAAACAAAAAACAAAATCCCAAGAAATTGGTGTCATAAAACAGGGTCTCTTTAACTTTAATGTCTAGTCAATACAAATGTATACTAGCAAAGGTCAATGTCGAGAAATAAAAATGTACACCAAGTATTTAGTTCCCTTGACAAACATATACTGCTATGTAATAAAATCTCGTATATGAAGACCTGATTAGGACTGAGGTTATTCTAACTTTTAAAAAGCCTCAGAAAATGGATGTCTAAAACAATACAAGTGCAGTTCAAACAACAAAATAAATTCAAAAAACTTTGAAGGGGCTTAAATTGCCACGTGATGCGAATGCCAAATGCCAGGGAGAGGGAGGTCTATCTGCAACATAGGCATAAAAATCAGAAGAGATAAGGGTTTGTTTGTATGCCCTAGATGAAGGAGGAAAACCTGTCTTCTCCATGAATATTATAGCTTGAGAAATATGATCAGGTGTTTTAGCTGACTGCCAAAAAGAGCCACATTTATCTTCTATATGCAAATGGTGATTTTAATTTACATTGTTCCTATGATTAGTGTGGTTGCTCTCTTTTTCATATACATATTTGTCATTTGTTAGTCTTCTTTTGAGAAATGTCTCCACAGATCCCATCTTCATTTTTTAAATTAGATTATGTATTTTCTTGCTCCTGAGTTGTTTGAGTTCCTAATACAGTATAGATATTAATGCCATATAGTGTGAGTTTACAAATATTTTCTACCAATTCATAGGTGTTTCTTCACTTTGATGCTTCCTTTGCTGCTCAAAAGCTTTATTATTTTTTAATTTATTTATTTGATACAGAGTCTAACTATGCAGTTCAGACTCATAGTGATCCTCCTATCTCAGCCTCCCCAGTGCTGGGATTACAGTCGTGCACCACCATGCCCAGAGTCTCAGGGTTCTGGGGCCAGCACGGCATGTGGTACTGGGGACTGAACCCAGGTGCTTGTGCTTGCCAGGCAGGAGCTTAGACTGTTGAGCTACCTCTCCAGGCTCAAAAGCTTTTTAGACTAACACAGAATTACTTGTCTTTTGTTGTTTATGAGGTCAAAACAAAAAATCACTGCCTAAACCAATATAAAAACACAGTAAATGTTTTCATTTTGCAATACCATTTTTGAAAATTGAAGATAGTGTTTATCACTGGTGCTATTAAATTCAAACATGAAAGACAAGCAATTTCTGAAGTAGTTTCAAAATAGAATCTCCTTTAACTAAATATTAGCATTTCACTAAAAATAAAACCTACATTATTTACAGATCAAATATTAAAAGTAGTGTGGCTTCTACCTAGCTTCTGAATATAAAGGCAATTTTCAGTAATTTTCAAGAGCATTTTAATTCATTATATGTTGTATGTATACATTTATGTATTTATGTATGTATGTTTTTTTGAGACAAATATTTCCTCTGTAGTTCAGACTGACATTCAACTTACTATGTAGCCCAGGCAATCCTCCTGTCTCAGCCTCCCAAATGGTGAGATTATGTCTGAGTATATTTTGTGTGTGTGTGTGTGTGTGTGTGTGTGTGAGATTTTTATGAGTTATTTTCACACAATAGTCAACATTCACTTTACATTCACAAAGCTCATGTTTGAACAAAAAGTCATATGCTGCTTTCTCTAATTCACATCCACTGAGTATTTTAATAAGAGTTTTTCTTTTGTACACAAGGTACTGGGGTTCAGTACAAATATAGTTTGTCCAGTTTTAAAATTTTACATACCTTAAAAATGTTGCTGTGGTAATTTCATAGGATAGTATACGGATTGCTTTTCTTATGTAAGTTATCATACCATTATAAAATGTAACATTTTTTCCAGTATGGGGGATAGAACCCAGTCAGGTCTTTTCCACTGAGCTATACCTCCAGCTCTTTGAAATTTTGAAACAGGGTCTTGCTAAGTTTGTAAATTGCCCAGGCTGGGTTGGAATTTGCCATCCTGCTGCGTAAGATGCTAGGATTACAGGCATATACCACAATGTCTGCCTTAATAATTTACTCTAGTCTACATTAAGATTTCCCAGGTTGCCTTAATTTTTTACAGTTAGTTCATTTCAATCAAATAAGGTCCATACGTTATAATCAGTTGACCTAGCTCTTTCTATTAGTACGTTATTCTTCAATCTTTTATTTCCTTCAATTCATGTGTTCAAGAAACTAGGTTATTTGTCCTCTAGAATTTCACATGGTCTAAATGTTGTTGAGTCTATCTCCATGGTGATATGCCATAAAAATATTTTAAAGGCAAACACCTTGGAGAGACTGAAGGGATAGCATGGGCATATGTCTAAGAAAAAGTGGAAAAACCCTAAAAGGAAAATATCAGAAAGGCTGATCCTTAGACTGCGCTAAGATTTCAAAAAAATCAGAGACAAAGATTTTCTTTGATTTATACTTAGAATAAGAACAACAAAAAGAAACTGGGCCTGCATTTGTGTGACTAAGTACACAATATTATAGCTTAATAGGCTCCTCAATTATTTTCTCCAATTAGGATCATTAATAGCTAGAAAGGGAATAACAAATTGTAGAATTAGGAAACTGAATCCCAGAGCAATCGAGATAAAAGCACCTTATTACTCTAAGTAAGCTCAGTTCTACTGTTGCAAATTATTTCTCAGTGTATAGTAGAGCTTCACCTCTATCTAAAATCTTTGAAGAATGAGCAAGAAAGGTGGATCTTTTATAGAAAACTCTAATAGCACTGGAAAGCAAAGTTGCTGCAAACTATAAACATATCATTTCATGTCAATCCCAAACCAATTTCCTAAATACAGTTAACTGGTTTCAGAGCCCTAGGCAAGGGAAAAGAGACTCATTAAGAGTCACAAAGCTCAGAAACTAATCATGAAAGATTAATTTCCTTTTCTGATATGGTTACTGGCCTAGAATATAAAAGAAATATTATACTCACAAAACTTTAGAATAAAGCACTAGATTTCCTAACTTGATCATCTTACTAATGTCTTAGGATACCAATGGTATGCCTACCACATTTGCAGATGACACGAAGTTGGGAGAGACAGATAATCTACTGGTTAACAAAATTAAAAAATACTTCACCTGACTAGAACAATGGATTACATCTCAACCAAATGAAAGGAAGTAGGGACAAAGGTAAAATGCATCATAATGGGGAGTAAAGTCATGGCTTAGCAGTAAGCCATATAAAAACATTAGGTACTTTTGTTAGTGGCTTGATGAGTAAAGGCAAAGAGGTAACTGTGCCTCAGGCTCAATTAATCTATTATGTCCTGAGCAAAGGAAGTGGTATATTCTATGCAACTTCTCAGTGATAGGAGAACACTTAAGAATATTATGTGTTATTTGGGGTAGCACATTTTAAAAGGAACAATGATGAAATAGAACATATTGAAAAGAGAGAAACCAATCTGGTGAATGTTCTAAAAACTGAGTAGAATGATACAAAGAACTAAAGATGGCTAACATGATGATAATGAAGAAAATTAGCTATTTTTATTCAAATGCTAGGGGCATCAGAAATCAGATTTAGGACAAAGAATAGCAA